CTAATGATAATGGCTGTGGTTATGGCTGGCTTATTTAATGAGTTTGCATATTGAACTGAGACCACGCGCATCAAAGCAGTTACGTGGCCGCGGACCCTACTTCTGTCTCTGACCAGCTCTCTTCCAATTCATGCATTTTGCCAGAAGCAGGATTGATCATGCACATTCCTTCCTTCTATTGCAAAAATAACTTGGAGCTGTTGATATGCTAATGATGAGTCATAACCTGAGAAAGTTATATGACATTCGCTTCCTCTTTTTTGTAGGTCTTCTCGACAATGTAACAGTTCTTATTGGAATTGCGTATGAAGGGAAAGCCATAGCAGGAGTTATTAACCAGCCATATTACAACTACCAGGTATTCCTATAATCGATCCAAAGATATTTTATTAGACAATTATAGCGTCATACGATTCCTGATGTTAATCCAGTGGTTTCTGGCTTAGTTGCACGTGCAGTCATCTTTTCAAAACACAGATTCCCAGGTCATGCCCCAGACCTATTCAGTCAGAAGCTCTGGAGGCGTTGATACCAGACTATATGTACGTGTGTATTACATATATTTTTTATGTATGCCTTATGATCCACATTCAGAAGTTTTGAAATTACTGATACGGTTCCCGGACTAGCTTAGTCACTGAGACACCTAATTTAAAGGTGTTCTTGAAACACACTGAAGCGTCTACGGCCATGCCACCCTGAACGTGCCCAATCTCATCTGATCTCGAAAGCTAAGCGGGGTCGGGCCTGGTTAGTACTTGGATGGGAGACCACCTAGGAATACCAGGTGCTGTAGGTATAAAAAAATTTAAAAAAAAGATGAAACACAGTGAAGAAATGAACCATTTCAACCGAGAAAGATACTAGCCGTGTTGTTTTCCAGGTCATGCTACACAGTGCCTAAATTATAGTCAGCATTGACGAATATGAGAACTAAATATGCTCTTGCATGCTTTTCTCTTATTTTTCCTTCTAATCTACTTCACTTTTCTATTACACACCCAAGAAATTGCCTTCCTAGAAGCAAGAGATTAATGTAATTCCAAAGTAGGAATATATCATTAAATCACATTACACATTAAAGGAAATTTTTGAGATAAAGTACTTAAGGTATTTACTTTAGTGTGACTTTGATAGAATTTTGGAGAAACAAAGTAACCAGAGTAGGGACTATTACTTCTGAATTTCCAATTTGAGTTAACAGAAGAATTAATCTCTACTTCTAAAATTAATTTGTTTTATTTTACCATTTATATGGTTATAAATTTTCATTTATAATCATGTGCTTCTTAGGATTATTTAGCAAAAACAGTTATGCATTATTGGGAAAGTCACTGTTTAAAGATCCGTTAATTCTTTTATATGTTTAATATTTATACAGTATTATGTAGATACGTTTGTGGTTATCATGTAAACTTTAGAGTTGATACTATTACTTAAAAGAGAAATATTTAATTCACAGGTAACATTGTAATGCATAGCACCTTTCATCACAAAAAGATCTGAGTGCTTAGAAGTTGTTAATCATCCATGACTTTTTTTCTGAGATTAGAAAAACTGTATTCATTTTCCACAGAGCAATGAAAAGCAGAAGTTAAGGGAACACGAGAATGAAGCAAAGGTGAGAAAAATAGCTAGGGTTTTGGCTCTACTAGTAGGTAGCGAAGAGGTAGGCACTTTGTGGTACCCAGCCCATGGCCCGTCCCCTGTGCCCGTTCGTTTCTCACGTTCTACTTCTTCCCTTTGTTACCTGTCCCTTTACCACACGCCCTTCTGCGCACATTTTCCTCCCTTCCTTCTCTCTTGCTTATGCTTTGAAATTTGGTGCAACAAGTAGAAAGTTGCTCAGCTCTGTTGTTGGTATTCAGGGCTCGGTATTCAATTTTAAATCATCATCGTAATAGCTAAAATTTTTCGGAGGCTTCCTGTATACTGCTAGACTCAAGGGAGTCACATGCATTATCTCATTTAATACTCACCGTCATCCTTAAGGACACCTTTTCCGTTTTAAAGGAAAGGAAACTGAAGCAAGTAACCTACCCTGGGTCACCCAGTTTGTCACTGGCAGATCTGGGATTCGAACCCCGATCCAAGCTCTCACCCATTATTTTATATTGGATCCAAAGCCAGATAAAAGACTTGTAAGAATTGAAACTGTTATTGCTTTTAACAGGCACTGAGGCCGGTAGACACTGCGAGGAAACAGCATGGCTTAGTGCAGAGAAGTCCCATCTGTCCTTATATCTGTCTAGCTTCTTAACCGTTATGAGACCTAGCGCATGGTAAGAGGAACATGTTAGCCTCCGTGACCCCCCGAAAGTCGATGTGCAGCGCTTGAAGGAGAGAGACGGGGAGAGGGGAGAGCGCGAGCACAGGGGAGAGCTAGCGCCGCCCCGCGCGCTGCATCTCCCTCCCCCGGGCGCCAGGCTTCCCGTTCCCATGCTCTGTGCCTCCATATTCATTTACAGAGGGGAGACGACGTCAGGGACCAGAATACTCATGTCCACTATTAGCATGCTTTCCTTTTTCAGAGTAACTGGAGCGCTGGATTAATAAGTAGGTTTCTTGAGAGCGTGAAATTGGTCTCAGCCATCAAGCAAGCTGAAGCCTAGTGAGGCCCCTGAGGCCCCCCACCTCCCGCCGCCAGCCGCGCTGTTCAGAGCCCAGCCTCGCTGGCCGGAGCCCAGCCTGCCCCGTAGTGCAGACGGGGGGTGGGGACGGGAAGCTCGCGGACACCTGTCGAGCACCGGTGCTTGTTCCTTGGTGCCTCTGTTGCCTGCTGCCCTCTTCGCAGGGAGCGAGGTCCGCAGACAGCGTTCAGTGCCCAGGGACTGCCGCACCCGTGCAGAGCCGCGTCGCCTGGTGACTCGCTCCCTCCAGGGCAGTCCATTTCCAACGACTGATTATTGCAGGGTTTAAAGAAAGGCCTGGCATTTCATCCCGTTTGGTACAACCTTGAAGAGCCGTTCTAGCTCCAGAGCTCCCCCTAGGGGCAGCTGCGTCCCAGCTCCATTTCCCCGTCCACTCAGGCTGCCTCCCCTCTCCTCCCCGGGTGTTGACCCCGGAGCGCGCTTTCACACACACCCTGCCGGCCTCAGAGTCGGCTTCCCAAGGAATCCAACCTGCCACGAGAACACCCAGGGGTACTGGTATCAGACAAATGAGATGTGTTTGAAAGCATTTTGACAAGCGCACTGAGGCAGCACAGTGTAGTGAAGTCAGCACTGTTAGCTGCATTTGGTTATACTGTTCCTCAGGTCCTTGGTCAGGTGAATTCATTCCAATCTCATTTTTCTCATCTGTAAAGTAAGGATGATACCTACACTTCATGGGGCTGTTCTGAAGATAAATGAGATAATACATGTAAAGCACCTGGTATGGTGCCTGGTACACGTGAAGTACGTGTCTTTATGTCTACAGTATTTGTCATGTTAAACAATGGTATTTTGATGACTTTGTGTTAATCATTTTATGCATCAGTTTTACTTCCCATGAAATACAGGTTACGTCTTTCTAGATGAAGTATATAGTAATAACTGTGGTTGAAAGTCCTTTGAGCTCTGCAAAGGAAAATACAGACCCTAAGATGGCATCACCATAGTCATTTTACGACCACAGTTGCCAGTAAAGCCTTGATCCGGATCCCCACTGTCCATGGCTGGCTTTCAGTATTGGCCTGTTTAGTTGCTGTCTCCCTAGTGGCAAAATGCATTATCACCATGACCCATCCCTGTATTAACACGACCCTTACTGTCTCTTGGGTATTGAAGAGCAGTAATCAATAGCGTTTCATTTCCTGGGGACTTCAGCACCTTTTGCAAAGAGCTATTTCAAACACAATAATGAGATTATCTGATGATTCATAGAACAACTGGAATCAGTTTATGACATTTGCTTTTCTGAGCCCCCCCGGGGAATAACCGAAAGTCCCCTTCGGTACCTTTGAAACCCAATTATTAACCAAAGCAACAATGAGAATAATCAGGTAATTCTCCGGGGAAAACTTCTTTGTGGATAATATCGTTTTTTGTGCTTTATAACATTACCATGTTTTATTTGCTTTAATTATGCTGCTGATGTAACTGTTGTATTTGTGGCCAACGCACTGACAAGCTTTGCTGTTTCCCCCGTTCACACAGGCAGGACCAGATGCCATGTTGGGGAGAACAATCTGGGGAGTTTTAGGTTTAGGTGCCTTCGGGTTTCAGCTGAAAGAGGTGCCTGCTGGGAAGCACATTATCACGACTACCCGATCCCACAGCAACAAGCTGGTTACTGACTGCGTTACGGCCATGAACCCCGATGACGTGCTGCGAGTTGGGGGAGCAGGAAATAAGGTACGGAAGCGGCCGGCCATCCACTCTGAATCACGAAGGTATCGTGAGCGTTTACAACAGGTGAAGTCAGAGTCTGGGGGAAGAGGTTGAACATTGTAATTTGACATCTAAGGCACATTTCAGCAGCTCTTGAATTTTTTTTTAAATGTCAAGTTTCAAGTCTTTTTCATCATTTATGTCACTGAGACCCCGTGCCTCTCGTCAGCCTTTATTTTCTCAAAGACCCTCCTGGATGACTTCCAAGACCTTTCTTCCAGCCCGCCCCTTCTGGGTACGCCCCCCGTTCTTATATCTAGGCTTCTGTCCTGAGAAGCACCAGTCCCGATCCCTTCTCAGTGATTGCCCCGGATAGCGGGATGATGACATCGCAAATTCAGCATGCCCAGTTTGAGCCCACCCTCTTTCTACCTCCCCCAGATGTGTTCCTCTCTCTACCTCCACCTGGTTAATGTCGCCACCATTTTCCCAGTTTTTCCAGACACCTAAGTCATCCTGGATGCCGGCTTCACATCCTATCGATCTGGTCCTGCCTATAGATCTTAATTCTTCCCTAATTTCTCCTCTCGTCCATCTCAACCGCCAGTGCTCTACTTGAAACCCATCATCATCCGTCACCCAGACCTTACAGTAGCTTCCAAAGCGGTCTCCCTGTTTCATCTGTCCTCGCTGCCACTAGAGCCATGAAAAACGCAAAACTTACCTTGTCATTCCCCTGCCCTGAGTCCTGGGATGTCTCTCCTTCACAGCAAGCTAAAATCCAAGCCTGTGGGAACGGCATGGGACTCCCCCGAAGGTGTTCTCGAACAGCACCGAAAGGAAGCGTTGGTCATGCTGTGTTCCCCGGGATTTTCCTCATTCTGGTCTCTTCCTCTGAATGTCCGAAGTCTGAGTTTTACAGAACTAATTATTTGACAGTATAACCAAAAGAAAAGTCACGTGACCAGTGAAAGCTTGGCAGCAAGTAACAGTTCTGGGTCGTGCAGTTTTTATCAGTGACCTCAGTTTTATATGAGTATTACAGGAATTAAGATGACTGTGTAAAAATTCATATTTTGGTAGTAGAAATAGCAATAGCTATGATCCTGAAGACTTAGGAAACTACTTGTTAGTCGGCATCACACATCCGTCAGGACTTATTACAGTTTTCACACTATTGCACTAGTTGATGTTTCTCTATCTTTTATATAGTAATGGTCAACTGTTCACAAGATTTAAAAACTTAAATATTTCTCCTATATTGTTTTTACAGTAAGAAAGAAAACAGCATAAAAAAAGGAAACTTTCCCTCACTTGGAACACGGAGACTGTGCAGGTCTCCCCCTCGTAGCCTACTGACCAGGCTTCCCCTCAGGCACCTGTACTCACGCACGTGTTCTGCACGTTTCTTCATACTACTCGACATTTAAATCTGCTAAAGGATTCCACCTAAGTGCAGTCTGACAAAGGGATCGATAGAAAAAAGCAACATTCTCTCAGTTGTACCTCATTTCATCGTTGAGGGATGATGATTGTGTGTAACCTTACAGATTATTCAGCTGATCGAAGGCAAAGCCTCTGCTTATGTGTTTGCAAGTCCGGGATGTAAGAAGTGGGACACGTGTGCTCCAGAAGTCATTTTACACGCTGTGGGAGGTCAGTCCGTTTTATTCTGGGGAATTAAACAGTTTTTAAGTCATTTTATATGCTGTGGGAGGTCAGTCCGTTTTATTCTGGGGAATTAAACAGTTTTTAAGTCATTTTACACGCTGTGGGAGGTCGGTCCGTTTTATTCTGGGGAATTAAACAGTTTTTAAGTCATTTTACACGCTGTGGGAGGTCAGTCCGTTTTATTCTGGGGAATTAAACAGTTTTTATACAGTCCTTATGTTAAGACATAACATTTCAGTAATATAACTTTTTACCTACTCTTAGGATATTAAAAACTAGAAAGAAAGTTAGAGATTATCCAGTCCAACCCCTACATTTCATAGGTGAGAAAGCAGATTTTCAGCCAATTCGTTTTTCTTTAGTTATAGTTTCTCTTTTGGACCTTGATCTGCAAATAGTTAATTAAACCCTTTTTAATTTATGGCTTTAATGCTTTTAGGGCTTTTTTCTTGAAAAGTAAAATATTCATTATCATCATCTCAGCTAGTTTCTTTTAAGCCAGTATTGGTAAATATTTTAGTACTTGTGCTAAAGATCAGAGTTAGCATTTTTTAAATCTGACTGAAAATATATTACAAATATATGTAGTAAGATGATTTTTCAATTTCAAATAGGTATCAGATCACATATACTCTTAAATACTTGATTTTTTTTTTTATTCTATCATTTCTCCTAGAAATGTATCAATACATTTTTGTATCAAAGATCACATATACTCTTAAATACTTGATTTTTTTTTAATTCTATCATTTCTCCTAGTACATTATTGTATCAATATCTCAACATATTACGTGGCAAGGAAGTTAAATTCATCATGATCCATTCTCACTGGAATGTTAAATGAAACTATAATACAGTTATATTTTATGAACATCAAGTGTTCAGTATTAAATGGTAGAATAAAAATGTTTTGAAAATGATAGTAGTGATGGAGTATAACCAATAGGAAAAGTAGTCGACTCACGAAGAGAAACTGATACTGAGAAATATAAACTGAAAATGCTAAATGAAATTATTTTAATGAAGTCAAAATTGCTATGTAGTCTAAAATTTCAGGTGAATTAACTCTTAACCATTGTTTTCCTTCTTTTATCCAAAACTGGGTATTATTGCATGGGGTAGTAAGAGGCACTTGTAAGTAACTGGGGACATAATGATCCAGTGACCCATTAACGTGGTGATGTTCTTCTGTAGGGAAGTTAACGGATATTCATGGCAACGCCCTTCAGTATAACAAGGAAGTGAAGCACATGAACTCCGCGGGTGTCCTGGCCACTCTGAGGAACTATGACTACTATGCAAGTCGCGTTCCTGAATCGGTTAAAAATGCACTTGTTCCTTAAAGGAACATCTCCTTTACCTGGCTAGGAGGAGGACTCGGTTTCAAAATAATACATTTTAAAACTAATCAGATGGAATTAGAACTCTACCTTCATTCATTGTTGGTCAGCGATTTACATTTCGTTAGGAGTAGAAAATAGAATTAAAAAATGTCTGAATTATCAACCAGACCAATTTTGACTTCTGGAGAATTTTAAAGTCTGTCACATTTCTTTTCCTTCTATTTGGAGAAATGAAAGAAAAGTTTAGTTCCAACTGACTATCCTGGTCAATTGTTTAATCAACATTCCTTTTTTTTTTTTTAGGGCACAGAAGCACAAGTTATTACCTGAATCTCATCCTTATTTTTCACAGTAATTTTAAAAGTTGTCCAGTTATGAATACACTAAAATGTCATTATGTATGTTGATGAAACAGATGTATGGGGAAAGGTTCTTTACAATAAATTATTTCATTCTAGCCAGTCGCTGTCCAGTGCTTTTAAATAAATTTGTTATTGGATTAAGAAAGTGATTCAGATTAATCATTCTCAAACCCAGCTGTGTCTCAGAATCACCTAGGAAGCTTCTCAAAAAATGCAAAGTCACAGGCTCCACCCCAGGAAATTTGATTCTGTGTATTTCCAGGGACTTCCATAATCGTTTAAGTTTAGAACTCACTAGGTAATAGGGTAAGTATAATCTTAGAGAGCTCTGTAATCCAGCCTGAAGCTCTTTGTGGCTTCGACACCTGTGGCCACACTCTTCTCTGTCCTGACTTCTTCTTTTCCTAGCCAGGGCTCCTCAGTCTCTTTTCTTGGTTTTTCTTCATCTTCCTTTCCTTAAATGTCAGTAGTCACCAAGATTCAGTTCTAGGTTCTCTCTAGTTTCTCATAAGATATTCTAATCCACACGTATGGCTTCATTTAGGGCCTACTGCCCGTAATTCCAAAATCTATCTAGTGTAGAACTCTTAAACTCTAGATTTCTATACCCAGAAACCTACTGTGATGTCTCATCGCTATCTCTGAATTATGACGTCTAAAAAAGTATTCATTTTTGCCTACCCCTCCTTAAATCATTTTACAAATCCCCCAGATGATCCTGATAATTGGCCAAGTTTGGAAATCACTTTCTTAATCCATTTAGCTCCTTCTAAGAACAGTTTTCTATTTACAGTGGACTAAACCTAAATACACACGCACACGTGTGTGTGTGTGTGTGTGTGTGTGTGTGTGCAAGGTGAGAATAACTTTGAAGGAATTTCGTACAGGCTCCTATGTAAAGACTTAAGTTACCCAAGCAACATATGTGAACATTCCCATTGCCTCTGTATTAACTTAGACCCTCAGACCCCATTATTTCTCCCATGGATCACTGCAGTGTCTTCCCATCTGATCCTCCGACATGGAAACTCCTTTCCAATTCATCTACTGTTGTCTCCAGGGTGACTTTTTAAAAAATCAGATCTAGTAATGCCAGTCCCTTACTCAAAATCTTGTATGGCTTCCTGCTGCTTTCAGGATAAAATGTGAGTTCTCTGTAATAGCATATAAATCTCAATGTTACGGCTTCTTCCTTCTCCAGCAACACCTCTGGACACTTATATACTCTAGCCACGCTCAGCCATTTCAAATTCCTCCAAAATACCATTTTTTCTCTTACCTTGGCCTCCATTTACTTCATCATTTATTTAAGAAATATTTTTTGAGCACCTGCTCTATGTTAGGCACTGCTCTGGGTACTAAACATTCACCACAGGACACAACAATGGCATAAGCCTGTCTCTTTGTTGAGCTTATATTCTTGTGAAGCAAACTAGATAATGAACAAGTAAATGAAATTATTTATATTGTGGCAAATGCTATAGAGGAAATCCAGTAGGAGGATGAGCCTGACAGCATCTGGGGTAGGGGGACGGCACTGGAGGAGATCTTCAGAGAAAGTGGGACTGTCTTCTTTGAGGTGACGGATGAGCCAGAAACTGGATGCCAAGAGCTGGGATCTCTAGTGGGAACAACCAGTACGGTACTCCTGAGAAGAAAAGGAGGAGGGAGGAAGGAAGGAAGGGAGGGAGGGAGGGAGGGAGGGAGTTGCATTTGATTAGATACATCAATGCAGAGAAAGAAAAGGACTATCCGAAGAGCATTCCCCTCAAAATCTTCACCAAGGACATTGGGAATTGTGCATATGTAAGTGATTCTAAGCCAGAAAATTAAATTCCAAGTCCCAGCATAAGGCAGAACACCACAAAGGAAAAAAAGAGAGAGAGAGGGAGAGAGGGAGAGAGGGAGAGAGGGAGGGGAGAGAGGGAGGGAGGGAGGAAAGGGAGGAAGAAAGGAAGGACGGAAAAGAAAGCAAAGAAAGCAAAGCCAGCCAGCCGGCTAAAGTGAAACGAACTTTAGGGGGAAGGCTGTTAGAAAGCGAGGCTGAGGGGACAGGGGCCAGATCATGTACGGCCTTAATTTTTTTAAAAGAAATTTAAGCAATGAGGGGAAAAGAGAGTGACAAAAGGGTACAGGGTTTCTTTTTGGAGTGATAAAATGTTCTAAATTGATTGTGGTAATGACTGGACACCTCTGAACATACTAAAAACACTGAATGTGTACTTTCAATGAGTGAATGGTACAGTATGTGAATTACATCTCAATGAAGCTGTTAGGAAAAATTAAATAGCCACACGTGGCTGGGGCCAACCATATTGTGTAGCACAGCTTTACGTCCTCTTCCTGTTTATCTCCCCGATTTTATGGCATTTACAGCCCAACATATCACCTAAACCTTAGATTCATAATATGCAACTGTTACAGGATATCTTCATCTAGGTATCTTGTAAACATCTCAAAAAATCAGTCTGAGACCACTTTTCCAAACCTATTTTCCCTCCCGTCTTCCTTCCTCAGACGACATAACCATCCACCAGTCAAACTGAAATCCAGCAATAAAGCTAGAAACACCGGCTTCTCACCATCCCGTCCCCCAGCACTCCATCAGTCACCACTGACTCGACCTCCCAAATATGTCCAAAATGTGTTCTGAATTCTCAACTCTCATTTCCACTGCCTTACTTTAGGCCTTCATCTTTTATCTCCTCCCACATGGACTGTCGTAGTAACATCTTAACTGCCCTCTCTACCACCAGTTCTGCCCATTCCGATCCACCTGCTACACTACTATCAACGCGATCCTCATAGAATGCAGTCCTAACCTTCTCTCTCACTGCTGCTTACAACTCTTCTACCACAGGATAAAAATCTAGCCCCTCAGCATGATAGGTAGAAGTCTTTATAATGTAAAGTGGGTGTCTACCTTCCAACCTTTTAATCTCTCATTGCCAAAACATATTATATCAATAACGAACTGGTTAGTTTTCCAAATATACACAGCTTCATGACTCCAGGCTTTAGCTCATGTTCTTCCTTTGACCTGTGTTCCATCCCCCCAGAAATGCCATCTCTTATTAAAGTTTTCCTTTACGAGTCTCTCCTCCCTCCCCTACTAGCTATAGGTAATTGTTTTCCATCTTCTGAGCTAACTTTGTACTTTGGGCAAACATTTATTTCTACTCTCATTTCCTATGTGTTTAAGATGAACACATTTCTCTTGTGGCACGTATCCCACTACACAGCTATTTTTACTTACCTGTTTCTTTCACATATAGGACTAAGCTCCTTGAGGGCAGGGACTTTGTCTCATCTCTACAGCTCCTGTTTATGTATATAATAAATAGGGTTTAACATGTTGTCTCAATCTCAGTAGATGCTCAAAATACCCATTCTTGATTGTCTTTTAAATCTTGATTGTTTATTAACCAAGAATGGAAGCAATTTTCCTTAAGTGAGTAATGAGTATAAGAAAACAGCCACAAACACTATTTTTGATAGTGATACAAATGGTTTTTTGACACATTTAAAGAAAAACATTCTCTCTTGGCCATTTATGATACTGTGATCAGGAAAAATAAAAGATTCTTTCCTTGTTTTATGTTTGAATTAAATTATGAGCATATAATCGTAAAGCAGATATGCAATAAAAACATCCAAACAATAGTATAGAAAGGAGCTCCTCGCTATTTTAAAAGGATAAATATAAAAATAGAAGTATCTAACAAAAGATGATCTAAGACTACCACGATTTCAAATAATTTTGTCTAATTTGCTAGCTGAGATAGACCATCAGTCGAGACTGAGGCTAAAAAGATGTGAACATCTTTACAAGGATAAATAGGTAATCGTTCCAATTCTCACTTTTGTGTGTCTGTGTATGTTTAAAAGATATTAATCTGCAAAAACTATGTCTGAAAGGCTATACATAAAATACAAGATTTGCCAAAAAAAAAGCTAGAGTTATCAAAAGGTGTATGAAAGGATACTCACCTCTGAGTTTTAAATCAGTCAGTCATGAAAATCTGGGAGAAAATTATTCCAGGCAAAGGGAAAGTGTGAACAGGTAAAAAATGAGAAACAAAAGGTATAGTCTTAAAGAAGCTTATAATACAAAGGACAAAACAGGCAATTACGATACATAACATGGTAAGCCTAAAATAGCGATAACTATAGGATATTAACAATAAAATGATAATAGATATTTAGTATTTTTTCTCTTGAATGTCTTTGTTTTACTGATGTTATTTAATTTTTAAAAAATTAGACATGTAAGGGTCCCAGATATCACCTAAATTCAATGTTGGAGTCTAGGGTTAATAAGTTTGAAGAACAGGTATAATTTTGGTTTGGTTTGATTTATTTAAGACAGGTCACAAACATATTTCAAATTTAGAAAATACAGTATTGAAATATCTCTTTATCCTGAAATTGAATATTTTGTCCAAAGGAATTTTCACAGCAAAGGTAGATTTACATGTGTGGGTGGAAAGAGATGCACAGACATACTAGTTCAACTATTAAATTCTTAGTGATGACTATGAGATCAGAAAGAAAAACAAATGAAAGAGAACCTTTGATTTCCAGCAATCGATTTACTGGAACAACTCTGAACTTTTTCTCAAAGTAGTGACAGGCTAATAGCATCTAAGGGGAAGAGGCTCTGCCAAAGAAGATGCTCTTGGTCTTTCTGTGCTTGACGAAGAACAGAGAAGGGTGATCACAGTGGGAATTTTCATACACTGGTAACGATGTTGGAACGATTTCCATCCCAGAGGCAGTGGCAGCTCCCATGCCTTCCTCGGTCACCTCCACGAGGACTTCTGTGGGATTTTAGACACCACGACACTGCTGCTCCTGGTCATGCCTGAGAAGTCAGTGTCCTGTTGACTGAAGGCACCCGCCATCCCGTGGCTCCCAGTATGGCCTTGAGGTCATTGGTGTCTTCCACTTTGAACTCAGTTGTACAAATCCACATCTCTCTTGCTCACGTTCTGTGAATTTACCCAGGCTATTAACATCTCAAAGGTGAGTTTACCTTCAAGCTTTTGCAGACCGTTTATTTCATTTGGCAGCAATAAAATCATGCTTGCCTCCATATGGCATTCTACTTTCCAAAGTAAATTTTCTATCACTCCCCCTCTCCTCCCCCAGCAATCAATCGCTTTGCAGCCTTCTCCCGGTATTAATTCTGATAGAATAGGAAGGACCCCCAGTATGTGCTAGGCACCGCAGAGAATTCAAAGATAACGTTTTTCAGCAAACAATAATCTTAACAGCTGGCAGGCTGCGCAGAAATCAATTTCAACAAAGGGAGGTACAAAGGCAGAGTCTGGTGTGCATAGAATCACCCGGAGAACTTCTTAAAAACGAGATTATGGTTCCTAACTCTAGAGACTCTGATAGGAAGGTAGAGGAAGAAGTTCTAAGACAGGTGCCTTACTACTCTGGAGGCTGGCTATATAAAGACGTAGGTACCTTTGATGGTGCCTTGGGACAGGTAGATAATTCTAAAGCGGCATTAAAGCCCTCAAGTCCCGTATTTAATCTAAGCGGCACTCTCTAGTAAGAACAGGATGTCTTCGGGATGTCGATGAGGTTGAGAAGATTTCTGTAATGAATCCTGGCCCTCTTGAGCTCTAACAGCAGCCCTTGGACTACGCCTGCAGCGCACGCGCGCGCGCACGTGTGTACACACATAAACACGCACGTCACACACACACGTACGAGGAGTTAAGAGCAGGAATCAGAGGACCCTGTGAAAGGCACGCTCGCGCAGTCCAGGCAAAGAAAGCCAAGCCGGGGCAGCGGCTTTAGTAGTAATGCCTTTTATCAATAATCCTTTCTCTTAACCATTAGCTTTAAGAACAAAAAGAACTCCTGAAAATACATTCTCCTTCTGAGAGAAGGAAACGCGGGGTCTTCCCGCACGCCCAGGGTCCCCGTGGCTGTGGGCTTGGTGTGTGTGCTTCCAGGACTTCTCTGTGTTCACGGACACGCGGGGCCCCCCGACACCGTGTTTCGTCTCGTGCGTGTTTCGTCTCGTGCGTGTTTCGTCTCGTGCTTCGCGGGGCAGCGCGTCACTGCGGGAACGGCCCTACCGCTCGCTTTCCCCGCTCCGCCAAGTGTCGCCAAGTGCCGTAAGCCTCACCCGCTTCGGCGTCTTTCCCGCGGCGACGTGGAAGGACACGTCAGTC